ACGTCTATCAACATGGTTTTTTTTCCCCTTATTTCTCGCATAGATGGGAGAAATAATTCTGCTCGAACCATTGCGTTAATACTCATATCAAGAAGACATCGTGCGATAAGTCCCTCTTTATTTCAAAATCGGTTTTAACCGTCAGTGCACAAAAGGGAACATATTTAGCGACAAATTCTTTCGCGTGAAGAGTCTACAAGAGGCAAACGAACAAATTAAAGGCCGGCCTTTACTTCGAATAGAAGGATTAATTTGTTACAACTATGTTAACTTATTCAATACTCATTAGTTCTTTAACTAATGCTGTCTAGAAAATATGAATACTCTAAACCTGGTTGTTATGAGATATTTCCTTCTTTCTCCCTTTCTTTCTTTACTAAGTTATCTTGCTTTTTTTTCTTCTGGTATGCAAGTTAAGTAACCTGTCCAAACTGGCTCAAAACTCCTCCCTTGCAAAGAAATTTCAGTTATTTATTAATAATTAGAAAATAGCGGTGTCGTGCCTGCGGAGTAACCTCTCAAAACCCCAGTGCATACTTGGGTGCTTGTTTGTATTTTTCCTGTTACGTTTTTTGTTGACCGAAAGTCAGATTAAAGACACTTGTCCTAAGTTAGAAGAATATATGAAAATGAGAAACAGGATTGAGCGAAGTCAATTTGATAGACCTGCTAGGAAATAAGGCAGCTTTTTGAGTGTTGTTAAAATGTCAACAACAAACAGAATCAAGTATAAGAACAATCATTTGTGCTAATTTCTACGATTCTATAGGGTTGATGATGCATTAATTGCAAAGGGATATGGAATATTCGAGATGGTTCTACCTTTTTAATTCATAAAAATAGTGTCCGAAAATCAATACCTCAATTTAGGCCGAGAGTGTTCTAAGAAATGAAGTGAAGTCGTTCTTAAAACCAACTTGATAGTGTGAGCATAAGGTCTGAGGTTTAACGTGCTATTTCAGGATCATACATCAAAATTGTACTCTTCAAGTAGTTTTTTTTAGCAATGAAATACTTCTCTGCCCTTTTGTCGACCTTGGCTTTCAGATGTGTTGTGGTTTACCGCTTCACTTTGGCTTCGACTTTCTATGTTTTTTGATTAGTAGATCGTTGTCAGAGCTTCCACGAGTTTGACTTATAATTTTACTTACCTCATCCGGGTGCGGTTGCGAACACGAAAGTAAGAGCGTGATTTCCTTACGGTTGACTGGGCATAACATTGGACACAACACCAGATGGAATTCCAACTTGCCCTGGTTTAATTACAGATTTCATACCTTTCATAAGTTTTTCATTTCATAAGTTTACTATTTATAAAAACAAATAAAATGCATTCTACAAGTCCCTTTTAAGTTTAAGTGAATATTCTCTCAGAACTCATAAACAGCAAATCTGAAAATATTTTCCCAGGCATAAAAGAGAATCCACTGACGTAACAGCGTGAGACAAAACAAAACAAAACAAAACAACAAAAAAACAAAACAAAACAAAAAAAAATACTTGAGACAGAATGTCTCTTCGATCAGTTTCGTCTGACAGGGCGGGTTTTAGCACGTTTCAAAATAATTGCCTTCTAAGCCTTATTTCAAGAAATTACTTTTTCAAACTCTGCAATTTGAAATGGTAATTTAATAAAGAGGTTTGGATTTTTCAAATTCTATCTGGAGAGTACTGTTTTTATCGACCGCATAGTTCGTGATGTTTGCCTTTAATTAATATTTGGAAGACCCCTGACCGCGAAATAATACTCATAACTCTCAAGACTTTTTTATGGGTCTTTTAAGTGCCGAACGCAATCATTGGCCATTGGCAATTAGATGATGCGTAGTGCGTAGTACCCTTAGGGAAAATTTGATCAAGACGATAAAATGGTCTGTGGAGCTTTTAGCAGACTTCTTAGAGCCTTTTTACATGGATGTGGGGGACCTCAGGTGGGTGAGGCAACCCGTCTAGCTGTGGTCGAAAAATAGCCCGCGTTTACATACAATCTTACTACCCCGCGATGCCGGGATGACGTTTCTCGAGGTTGTAATCGCACTTGTAATTACGGCGACGTGTGGTTGCCGTAAAAACGTAATTTATTTTCCTCTAAGTTTTTCGCCAATAGCTCAATGCATTACCTGTTTCCGACGGTAAAACGTCTTCACTTGGGCATAACATGTGAGTGTAGTGTTGAGTTTAAAGTAAAAACGTGACTAAATCGTTGTCGATGTTTCATTGCCAAGAGGACGTAAGAATGGTGTTTTAACGTTTCAGCTCTGCATGGGACGGTTAGGAAGTGTAAAAAGTTGTAACACAGATGTGTTTCGCTCTTGTTTGGCTCATTTGAGCTTTTTGTAACATTGAAGCCATCCCGGCTAGGCATGTTACCCTACCTTGAGACGTTTACATGGCAAGTTGTCACCCAGGCTGACAGAGATACCCTACCAAGCAGACCGCGCAATCCGCTTAGGCGGGTCACCCCACCTATCATGTAAACTTGATCAAGATAAAATAAGAGTTACTTATAAGAGTTGCTACTTCGAGACTCAAGGTAAATTTAAAGAGAGATCGCCAATCCTGCTCTGAGGACATGGTTGAAAAAAACAAAAACAAATAAAACACGCAAACAAACAAAAACTAAAGACACTCCATATACTAGTGGGGAAGG